AGTCATGACAGTCTGTCCTTCCAAGTCATGACAGTCTGTCCTCCCACGTCATGACAGTCTGTCCTCCCAAGTCATGACAGTCTGTCCTCCTAAGTCATGACAGTCTGTCCTCCCACGTCATGACAGTCTGTCCTCCCAGGTCATAACACAATCTGTCCTCCCAAGTCATGACAGTCTGTCCTCCCAAGTCATGACAGTCTGTCCTTCCAAGTCATGACAGTCTGTCCTCCCACGTCATGACAGTCTGTTCTCCCAAGTCATGACAGTCTGTCCTCCCAAGTCATGACAGTCTGTCCTCCCAAGTCATGACAGTCTGTCCTTCCAAGTCATGACAGTCTGTCCTCCCACGTCATGACAGTCTGTCCTCCCAAGTCATGACAGTCTGTCCTCCCAAGTCATGACAGTCTGTCCTTCCAAGTCATGACAGTCTGTCCTCCCACGTCATGACAGTCTGTCCTCCCAAGTCATGACAGTCTGTCCTCCCAAGTCATAACACAATCTGTCCTCCCAGGTCATGACAGTCTGTCCTCCCAAGTCATGACAGTCTGTCCTCCCAAGTCATGACAGTCTGTCCTCCCATGTCATGACAGTCTGTCCTCCCAAGTCATGACAGTCTGTCCTCCTAAGTCATGACAGTCTGTCCTCCCACGTCATGACAGTCTGTCCTCCCAGGTCATAACACAATCTGTCCTCCCAAGTCATGACAGTCTGTCCTCCCAAGTCATGACAGTCTGTCCTCCCAAGTCATGACAGTCTGTCCTCCCAAGTCATGACAGTCTGTCCTCCCAAGTCATGACAGTCTGTCCTCCCAGGTCATAACACAATCTGTCCTCCCACATCATGACAGTCTGTCCTCCCTAGTCATGACAGTCTGTCCTCCCAAGTCATGACAGTCTGTCCTTCCACGTCATGACAGTCTGTCCTTCCACGTCATGACAGTCTGTCCTCCCAAGTCATGACAATCTGTCCTCCCAAGTCATGACAGTCTGTCCTCCCAAGTCATGACAGTCTGTCCTTCCAAGTCATGACAGTCTGTCCTCCCACGTCATGACAGTCTGTCCTCCCATGTCATGACAGTCTGTCCTCCCAGGTCATGACAGTCTGTCCTCCCACATCATGACAGTCTGTCCTCCCAAGTCATGACAGTCTGTCCTCCCAAGTCATAACACAATCTGTCCTCCCAAGTCATGACAGTCTGTCCTCTCAAGTCATGACAGTCTGTCCTCCCAAGTCATGACAGTCTGTCCTCCCAAGTCATGACAGTCTGTCCTCCCAAGTCATGACAGTCTGTCCTCCCAAGACATGACAGTCTGTCCTCCCAAGTCATGACAGTCTGTCCTCCCAAGTCATGACAGTCTGTCCTCCCAAGTCATGACAGTCTGTCCTCCCAAGTCATGACAGTCTGTCCTCCCAAGTCATGACAGTCTGTCCTCCTACGTCATGACAGTCTGTCCTCCCACGTCATGACAGTCTGTCCTCCCAAGTCATGACAGTCTGTCCTCCCAAGTCATGACAGTCTGTCCTTCCACGTCATGACAGTCTGTCCTCCCAAGTCATGACAGTCTGTCCTCCCATGTCATGACAGTCTGTCCTCCCAAGTCATGACAGTCTGTCCTTCCACATCATGACAGTCTGTCCTCCCAAGTCATGACAATCTGTCCTCCCAAGTCATGACAGTCTGTCCTCCCAAGTCATGACAGTCTGTCCTTCCAAGTCATGACAGTCTGTCCTCCCACGTCATGACAGTCTGTCCTCCCATTTCATGACAGTCTGTCCTCCCAGGTCATGACAGTCTGTCCTCCCACATCATGACAGTCTGTCCTCCCAAGTCATGACAGTCTGTCCTCCCAAGTCATAACACAATCTGTCCTCCCAAGTCATGACAGTCTGTCCTCTCAAGTCATGACAGTCTGTCCTCCCAAGTCATGACAGTCTGTCCTCCCAAGTCATGACAGTCTGTCCTCTCAAGTCATGACAGTCTGTCCTCCCAAGTCATGACAGTCTGTCCTCCCAAGTCATGACAGTCTGTCCTCCCAAGTCATGACAGTCTGTCCTTCCAGGTCATGACAGTCTGTCCTCCCAAGTCATGACAGTCTGTCCTCCCAAGTCATAACACAATCTGTCCTCCCAAGTCATGACAGTCTGTCCTCTCAAGTCATGACAGTCTGTCCTCCCAAGTCATGACAGTCTGTCCTCCCAAGTCATGACAGTCTGTCCTCCCAAGTCATGACAGTCTGTCCTTCCAGGTCATGACAGTCTGTCCTCCCAAGTCATGACAGTCTGTCCTCCTAAGTCATGACAGTCTGTCCTCCCAAGTCATGACAGTCTGTTCTCCCAAGTCATGACAGTCTGTCCTCCCAAGTCATGACAGTCTGTCCTCCCAAGTCATGACAGTCTGTCCTCCCAAGTCATGACAGTCTGTCCTCCCAAGTCATGACAGTCTGTCCTTCCAAGTCATGACAGTCTGTCCTCCCACGTCATGACAGTCTGTCCTCCCAAGTCATGACAGTCTGTCCTCCTAAGTCATGACAGTCTGTCCTCCCACGTCATGACAGTCTGTCCTCCCAGGTCATAACACAATCTGTCCTCCCAAGTCATGACAGTCTGTCCTCCCAAGTCATGACAGTCTGTCCTTCCAAGTCATGACAGTCTGTCCTCCCACGTCATGACAGTCTGTTCTCCCAAGTCATGACAGTCTGTCCTCCCAAGTCATGACAGTCTGTCCTCCCAAGTCATGACAGTCTGTCCTTCCAAGTCATGACAGTCTGTCCTCCCACGTCATGACAGTCTGTCCTCCCAAGTCATGACAGTCTGTCCTCCCAAGTCATGACAGTCTGTCCTTCCAAGTCATGACAGTCTGTCCTCCCACGTCATGACAGTCTGTCCTCCCAAGTCATGACAGTCTGTCCTCCCAAGTCATAACACAATCTGTCCTCCCAGGTCATGACAGTCTGTCCTTCCACGTCATGACAGTTTGTCCTCCCAAGTCATGACAGTCTGTCCTCCCATGTCATGACAGTCTGTCCTCCCAAGTCATGACAGTCTGTCCTCCTAAGTCATGACAGTCTGTCCTCCCACGTCATGACAGTCTGTCCTCCCAGGTCATAACACAATCTGTCCTCCCAAGTCATGACAGTCTGTCCTCCCAAGTCATGACAGTCTGTCCTCCCAAGTCATGACAGTCTGTCCTCCCAAGTCATGACAGTCTGTCCTCCCAAGTCATGACAGTCTGTCCTCCCAGGTCATAACACAATCTGTCCTCCCACATCATGACAGTCTGTCCTCCCTAGTCATGACAGTCTGTCCTCCCAAGTCATGACAGTCTGTCCTTCCACGTCATGACAGTCTGTCCTTCCACGTCATGACAGTCTGTCCTCCCAAGTCATGACAATCTGTCCTCCCAAGTCATGACAGTCTGTCCTCCCAAGTCATGACAGTCTGTCCTTCCAAGTCATGACAGTCTGTCCTCCCACGTCATGACAGTCTGTCCTCCCATGTCATGACAGTCTGTCCTCCCAGGTCATGACAGTCTGTCCTCCCACATCATGACAGTCTGTCCTCCCAAGTCATGACAGTCTGTCCTCCCAAGTCATAACACAATCTGTCCTCCCAAGTCATGACAGTCTGTCCTCTCAAGTCATGACAGTCTGTCCTCCCAAGTCATGACAGTCTGTCCTCCCAAGTCATGACAGTCTGTCCTCCCAAGTCATGACAGTCTGTCCTCCCAAGACATGACAGTCTGTCCTCCCAAGTCATGACAGTCTGTCCTCCCAAGTCATGACAGTCTGTCCTCCCAAGTCATGACAGTCTGTCCTCCCAAGTCATGACAGTCTGTCCTCCCAAGTCATGACAGTCTGTCCTCCTACGTCATGACAGTCTGTCCTCCCACGTCATGACAGTCTGTCCTCCCAAGTCATGACAGTCTGTCCTCCCAAGTCATGACAGTCTGTCCTTCCACGTCATGACAGTCTGTCCTCCCAAGTCATGACAGTCTGTCCTCCCATGTCATGACAGTCTGTCCTCCCAAGTCATGACAGTCTGTCCTTCCACATCATGACAGTCTGTCCTCCCAAGTCATGACAATCTGTCCTCCCAAGTCATGACAGTCTGTCCTCCCAAGTCATGACAGTCTGTCCTTCCAAGTCATGACAGTCTGTCCTCCCACGTCATGACAGTCTGTCCTCCCATTTCATGACAGTCTGTCCTCCCAGGTCATGACAGTCTGTCCTCCCACATCATGACAGTCTGTCCTCCCAAGTCATGACAGTCTGTCCTCCCAAGTCATAACACAATCTGTCCTCCCAAGTCATGACAGTCTGTCCTCTCAAGTCATGACAGTCTGTCCTCCCAAGTCATGACAGTCTGTCCTCCCAAGTCATGACAGTCTGTCCTCTCAAGTCATGACAGTCTGTCCTCCCAAGTCATGACAGTCTGTCCTCCCAAGTCATGACAGTCTGTCCTCCCAAGTCATGACAGTCTGTCCTTCCAGGTCATGACAGTCTGTCCTCCCACGTCATGACAGTCTGTCCTCCCAAGTCATGACAGTCTGTCCTCTCAAGTCATGACAGTCTGTCCTCCCACGTCATGACAGTCTGTCCTCCCACGTCATGACAGTGTGTCCTCCCACGTCATGACAGTCTGTCCTCTCAAGTCATGACAGTCTGTCCTCCCACGTCATGACAGTCTGTCCTCCCACGTCATGACAGTCTGTCCTCCCACGTCATGACAGTCTGTCCTCTCAAGTCATGACAGTCTGTCCTCCCACGTCATGACAGTCTGTCCTCCCACCATTACTGGGATCATACACAAACTGTCCACAAATAAAAAAACAAACTTCAAACATGTTATTCACCATCCTTGCACATTAAATTTGCAAGTTTCTGAAACATCCGTGGTAGGATGCTCCAAGTAAAGATACAGCTTTTTAGCTGACAAAGCTACAGAGAGCCCAAAATATGCATGAACCACAAAAGAGTGTGGCGTAAGTCTCCATGACAAACCTTTCTTGACAACAAGGTGGGTGACGGTCTTGTTGAACTTGGGGAAGAAGACACTGCCGGTGACCTTACTGAACTCCTGGACAGACGTCTGAAAACATCAGTCACAGCTCATCAGTTCACCAGTCATAGCTCATCAGTTCACCAGTCACAGCTCATCAGTTCACCAGTCACAGCTCATCAGTTCACCAGTCACAGCTCATCAGTTCACCAGTCACAACTCATCAGTTCACCAGTCACAGCTCATCAGTTCACCAGTCACAGCTCATCAGTTCACCAGTCACAGCTCATCAGTTCACCAGTCACAACTCATCAGTTCACCAGTCACAGCTCATCAGTTCACCAGTCACAACTCTCTGACCACAATGCAGTGTTCAGTTACTTTCTTCACATCACTAAATTCTTGCAGATCATTTAACCAGCGTTAGAAATTGGCACTAGTCCTGTAGTCCTTGCCAAACTGCCCAATAGTTAAGGGATATCCAGGATATCCATTCATACATTCATTATATCAAACAGGCCCCCAGTATGATATCCAGGATATCCATGCATACATTCATCATATCAAACAGGCCGCCAGTATGATATCCAGGATATCCATGCATACATTCAATATATCAAACAGGCTGCCAGTATGATATCCAGGATATCCATGCATACATTCATCATATCAAACAGGCCGCCAGTATGATATCCAGGATATCCATGCATACATTCAATATATCAAACAGGCCGCCAGTATGATATCCAGGATATCCATGCATACATTCATTATATCAAACAGGCCGCCAGTATGATATCCAGGATATCCATGCATACATTCATTATATCAAACAGGCCGCCAGTATTATATCCAAGATATCCATGCATACATTCATTATATCAAACAGGCCGCCAGTATTATATCCAAGATATCCATGCATACATTCATTATATCAAACAGGCCGCCAGTATGATATCCAGGATATCCAGGATATCCATGCATACATTCAATATATCAAACAGGCCGCCAGTATGATATCCAGGATATTCATGCATACATTCATTATATCAAACAGGCCGCCAGTATTATATCCAGGATATCCAGGATATCCAGGATATCCATGCATACATTCAATATTTCAAACAGGCCGCCAGTATTATATCCAGGATATCCATTCATACATTCAATATTTCAAACAGGCCGCCAGTATTATATCCAGGATATCCAGGATATCCATTCATACATTCAATATATCAAACAGGCTGCCAGTATGATATCCAGGATATACCCATGCATACATTCATTATATCAAACAGACCGCCAGTATGATATCCAGGATATCCATGCATACATTCATTATATCAAACAGACCGCCAGTATGATATCCAGGATATCCATTCATACATTCATTATATCAAACAGGCTGCCAGTATGATATCCAGGATATCCATGCATACATTCATTATATCAAACAGGCCGCCAGTATGATATCCAGGATATCCACATAGAAACAAGGAACTGTTGGCTTCTCACAGATTTCCTCTTTCAGAATGCTTTGCTTTGTCACTGTAATGTTAGAATAATCTGCAGAAACAGATTCCACTTGGAGTAAAAGGAAAATCCTATAAATGGATCATTAAAAATCAGTGATGACACCAGGTGTCCATGGAAAGGGTAAGCATGTCCTCACAGATAGAGCCTGCCACCTACACAGTTGTTTTATCAATTTATGTCTTCATGTGTCACAAGTCATGGTTTTGTGGGAACTGAAATATTGCTTAATATATTTGTGAATTCTAAGGAAGGAATTTATTTGAAATAGGTACAAAAACTAGACAGAGCTCGCTCAAGAACAGGTAGTTTTCTAATAGTAATACAAACGGTACAAAAACCCAAAACACATTTTAAATGAATTTGGATGTCAAGGCATCTACTCCTGTGTACCATCAGGTCTGTTTACCCCTAATTTGCCATACAAGTCAACCCTTGAAGATCCAGGTCAGAAGAAGTCTTCAGCAACCCATGCCTGTCATAAGAGGTGACTGACAGATAGGGTGGTCAGACTAGCTGACTTGGTTGATGCATGTCATCGTATCCCAATTGCATGGTATGATGCTCATGATATTAATCACTGGATTGTCTGGACCAGACTCGATTATTTACAGACCGCCGTCATATAGGTGGAATAATGCTGCCTGCGGTGTTAAGCAACAAACAACCAAACAAACAGACCATAGGACTCATTCACTAACAATCTGTCCATAGTCTCAGCTATTTATCACTATTTATTTTTCCCAGAATGCAAGCAGGTGAGGTCGAGTGAGTGAGTGAGTATGGTTTTTCGCATTTGTATACTTATCCTGCATTACTCCTTAATGCATTCACTGCTCACCTTGCAACAAAGAAAACAGGACAGCGTACCGCCGATGGTCCTGGGTGAAGAAATAAACTGTTCATAAGTACCACTTTTCGTACCCCATCGTCACTGTCCTGTGACCTCTCCTGACCATAGGTCACCTCTTCACATCACTGCCTGTCACCCAAGCTTAAGAAAAACATACTTTTGACTTTTGAGGTTTCTGAAACCCTCAGAATACAGAAACCTCAATAATTCACACCCTGAAGGTACAACACCAGTTGGTCAATAAACCGTGAAGCGAAAAAGTTGAGAAAATCGCGATTACGGTCAGGTTATTTCAATTTGAAAAACAATTGAACATAGGAATTAAAGAGTAGCTCCCTATACATCTTTAGTAATAAAGACAAATAGCTCATTAGCCAAATCTTTACTTTCTACAATATAGAGCCTTGTGGACAATTGATTGTCTAATATTCTTCCACTGGCGAAATCTGATCGACTGCACAGGAAATGGATTGGCTCTGTAGAGGGCGAATTCATTATTTGCGTCCGGGGCTGGTAACCTGCTGGGCTACAACCAACGGCCCAAAACTCTGTACACCTTCGACGTCCTGGACAGTCACATTGCGAAGATAATGACTGGCGAAAACTGTGTCTGACCTCCAAAAACATCCTTCCATGATTGTTTTAATAGCACAATTGCTGTGTAACGCCATGGTAGAGGCTAGTGCCTTGATCTCATGAGGATTATTCGCTCTCGGCGGATCCAAATTGGGGATCGAATAAGCCTGAAGGATGCGGTGGCTAAAATAGAGAAATGCTGTTTTCGTGGTGAGGTCATAAAATGACGATGCATAGAGGGGTTCACCTCTATTAGAAGGACAATGAGCTAACGTTGTAGCTTTTGCTGCCCGTGCCAAATAGCCCTTTGCACTTAACGCCTTTTTAAGATGAACCAACTGTGCAGACGGAATCTGTCTGGTGTTGGATGAGGCAATTTGCTGTGAGGGTGGATTAGTAGGTTGGACCACTGTGGGAGGGGTAGTGGATCATCTTCTGCTAGATTTCTGAGCTCGACGAAACACCCTCTCGCCGGCCACCAGGGCGTGACCAAAGTCTTGATCTTTTTACTACCCTGGGAAGTAATACTGGTGGCGGAAAAGCATACTCTTTTAGCCCTTCCCAAGGAATGCTGAATGCTTCCACCGCCCAAGCCTGCGGATCTGGTAACGGGGAGACATACGTCATGAGTAGGTAATTTTGGCAAGAAGCAAACAGGTCAATGTTTGGTTGCCCGTACTTCTGAAGCAGTAACTCGAACGCTTATGTGATAAGTGTCCACTCGGTACGTGCTACCCTGTCTGGACGCGATAAAGCATCGGCCAGAATGTTTCTACATCCGGGGATGTGCTGAACTATGAACTGTAGTTGGAAACGATCCACTAGATGGTAAAATCTATATGTCTGTTGAAGTAGCGAGCGGGAGTGCGTTGTTCCCTGATTGCACAGACACGACACCAAAGTGCTGTTGTCTGTGGATATTGCGAGTTGGGCTGACTGTAGTTGATTCTGCCATGAGATATGGCCAGAATTACGGCTTCCAACTCCAAATTGTTTCTGTGCCACTTTCGATGAGTGCCTGACCATAGCCCTGAGGCCTTCTGGTCTCGCAGGTGAGCACCCCCCCCCTGAAGGGAGGCATCTACGAATGGGTGTTGATTCGGGGATAACCAAGACTAAGAGTCTCCTCCTAAGACATTCGACTCTACCGTCCACCAAATGAGGTAAGGCCTTAGATGAGCTTGTAGCATGATGGCCTTGAGTGGATCCTGACTCCTGATGTAAGGGTTCAGGAATTATTGTATTGGGCGTAATTGTGATCGGCCTCTGTTGGTTAGATCCTGGGCTGAGGTGATTAACCCTAATAACACTTGCCATTGATGAAGTGTGCATGGTTGATAAAGAGCAGGTGACAGGAGGCGTAAAATTTTGTGCCATCTGTCCCTCGGGACCGATAGGAGGTCCTGGTCTGTTTGGAACAGGCCTTCTATGAACTGGAGTCGAAATGATGAAGCAGACTCGAACTTCGCCTCGTTGATTATCTATACCAAGTGATATATTAGCTCTCTGGAGAAATCCCAGTGGCATACTAATGTCTGCGTGTGTTGATGACACAGGGGACAGTTGTCTATGTACGACTTGAACCGAGTGTTCCTCAGGTGTAGAAACGCAGTTATAGGCTTCATTACTCGTGTAAATAGCCACGGGGCCACTGAAATGCCAAATGGGAGTACTGCCCACTGGCAGTGAACCCCACTGAACTAGAACCTGAGGAACCTGCAGTCGTTGGGATGGATCTGTATGTGCAGATATGCATCCTGCAGATCGAGACTGATCAAAGAATCGAACGCTTTTATGCTTGTTCTGAGTAGCCTCAACGTGGTGAGGCAGAAATAGGGTGGACGCTTCAGGTAACGTTCGTTGAAAACAGAGAGAATGTGTATCATACTCATCTTGTCTGAGCCCTTCTTGGGTACCAGGAAGATGTGAGAATAAAACACTGTTTTTAACGCTAGAGTGTGAATAATCTTTTCTCCAACAGAATGTCTATGTTGGCCTTTAATAGCAGATGTTGCTTTCTTGGATAATTCTTTGTCTAGTTGGTAACCGTGACGTAGAACGTTGAGAACGTAATCGTCCTTGAGGATGCTCCAGTTCTTCCAAAATCGATTCAGTCTCCCGCCTACAGGGGTATCGGCAATTTGGACGACTGGGGGCGGGAGATCAACATTTCAGTGTTTGCCCCTCCTATCCCCTCACTTACTGTGGTATTTACACGCCAGGATTGATAAGAACCTTGAGGTTTCCCACTGCCACTGCCCTGCGCCTGTCCTTCCTTGAGAGACTCGTGTCTAGGCCTGTATTTGCCTGATCGCTGGGATAAGCTCTGAGAAACATGCTCCAAAGCCTTGACAGCCTTCTCATCCCTAGCATAACTGGAAACTTTGGCAAGCGTGTCTGTAATCTGTTCATTGAACAGAGACAGGGAAGACTAAGGTTGACGTAACAACCTGCGCTTAAACTCCGAGTCCCAAGTAGATAGGGCTAAATAACCAAGTCTCCGTGTGACAGTTATTTCTGCCAACGTGGCTTTAAGGTGATTTCTCATATGGTCAATCTGACGCTGTTGAAACTCAACTTTAGTTTGGAGGTGATCTAGTTGGTATCCTGAACCTTAAGAGTAGTAGGCCTTGACGAGCCTGTCATTCTCTGTATATCCTCGTCTAAAATATGTGCCTGGTTTGCTGCCTCAAAGCCATGAATAGGAAATTCATCCTTCCTAAACCTGGGAGGCTTGAAAGCCTAGAAAAGTCCTCATCCAAAGATCTAATCATATCTGACATTATAGGGTCGACCGGAATCGACATGGGAGGTCCAAATAGTATCTTTTTTATCCACCTCGTTACCCGGGGAGGGTACTGAAATGAGGCGGTCAGCTACCCAATCAGGTACTTGTGCCAGGCCAAGGTAAGTATTCCATTCTGTCGAGGAATCTCCCTCTTCACCATTAGAATAGTCCGACGAAACCAGAACGATGTTGACGTGTGCGTCTAGATGGTGAACGACTTCTACTCCGATGTGTAGTGCTACCTCTGACCGAGGGCTTAGATGAACTGCCTGGTGAATAGAAGTCATGTGTTGATGTCCAAGTACGCGCAGGTGAACAGGTACTACTCAACGTTGAATGCGCTGTATTATGACGCACAATGGGAGTATTATATACGTTAGGCGCTGGAGTAGGTGGTAAGATCTGTGCTGTAGATGTAACTGACGCAGGTGTCTGATACATATGCGTAGGCCAGGGGTAGAAACTAACAGTTTCCGTCCACTGGTCCTTATAATGATAACATATAGCAAAACCCCTAAAAATGGCAAATTTCACCTAGTCCTTATGATACCTTTACTACTGGGCAGTTTGGCAAGGACTACAGGACAAGTGCCAATTTCTAACGCTGGCGTAGGCGTGGGAGCAGAATACAATTGTCCCATGGACTGCTGCCACATGGATTGCAAAAGATTTTTGCATCCAATTAGTGTTCTGTAATGGTATTGACACCTAAGCTTGCATCTGCTGCACTGGATAAGTTGGTACAGCGCTAAGCTGATCATGCGCTGCCTGTGTAGTATTGTACGCTGATAGCCCTGGGGCTGGCGTCATTGTAGGCAGTGGCTGCGCTCGGTGCAGGCATATGAGACGCGATGCTCAATGGTGTAGGCTTGTACACGGCTTGGGTTTGCGCTACCCCCGTCAAGGCATCTTGAGAAGCTGGCGCAATCTTCACAGATCTAGCAGATGTAGATTTCTCAGCCGACAGAAGATTAGGGTCAATTATAATACTCACAGGATCCTCTGGATTTGAGGTTTTCGGTGGTGCCTGCACTTCAGCAGTAACAGTAACGGTCAACGTATTACCCGTCAAAGATAATGGTTGCGTCGTAATGACCGAACCATGTCCCTCGCTAATCAGCGATTGTGACATCTTCCTAGTCTAATGACAGGATTGCTGCAAAATACGTTTGTGAGTGACCTGCCTATACCTCGTAAAGCTCGTTGAGGAGAGATTAACACCAAAAACACATTTAGAATTTGGCGCACAAATTTTGTGTGCACGTTAAACAACGTGGATGAAGGTCTTTAGCAGTTGGTAACAAATTTGGTAACAAGTTGAAAGTGTATTTAATGATTTGTATATACGCAACTCGATGAAACGCCAAAGCTAGTAGTATTTAAAAACACATAAATATGTTATACATACATAGCTGAGAATTGTAAACAAATCTACTACCCTGGCAGGCAAACAATTGTAACACAATTCAAAATAGACAGAGTTGTTATACGCCTAAATAAATCATATGCAACTTCACATGTTGAGAGTAATATGAAAAGAATACATCACCCGTCACAGATGAATTTTAGAATTGTAGACGAAAACTGAAGGTCTAAATAAATCCAAAACAAGAGCTCCACTGGTACACATTTGTGCTGTAGCACGACAGGCAGTGATGTGAAGAGGTGACCTAAGGTCACGAGAGGTCACATGACAGCGACGGCGGGGTACGAAAAGTGGGACTCATGAACAGTTTATTTCGTTACCCAGGACCATCGCCGGTACGCTGTCCCGTTTGCTTTGTCGCAAGGTAAGCAGTGAATGCATTAAGGAGTAATGCAGGATAAGTAAAAAATATATTATATTCTTAAAATACGTAATTTATTCATTTGGATTCATAGAATGTGTTTCTTATTCAAAATCTGTTGGAAACAGGTCCTCAGATCAAAATCTGATGATGAAGATAAATATCTCACCGCCTGTTCTCGGTTCAGTCCGCTTGTGATGAGGACAATCTTCTCCGATCTGGGCTTTCCCAGGTTGCCGGTCTGAAGTGGACTGAGAACTGTCCGACTTCTGGAAGACTTGGAACGGTCTGGAGATTTAAACTTCTCAATTATCTCAAAGGCTTTGATGATTTCAGCTGACTTCCGTGGCTTGGGGAGTCTGTCGAAGTCAGGCGGGGGAGAAGGCGACCTCGGACTGAGGAACAGGTCGTCATCACTGGATGAGTCGTCGCCATCTTTTGTCTTGTTGGATGCAGGGATCACATCAGGCGTCGACACCTTGCAGTAATCTGAAGTGAGATTTACAGTATAGATTTAAAGAGAAGGTTTGTTGAATAAAATGCTTGTTTGTTAGCTTGTTGGTTTAATGCCATCAGCAATATTCCAGCTACATGACAGCAGTCTGTACATAGGCAAGTCTGGACCAGACAATCCAGTGATTGACATATCCGAATTGTCGGGGTGAAATGACATGCAATCGAACAAGTCACAGACCAACCAATCCACTTAGATGCCTCACAGAGGATAGCGTGTTGGGGACCAATTCTAACCCGGAATCCTCACCCTCCACAATGTCTGCCTCTGCTACATCTTCCGCCACCTCCACCATGGTCCCATCTACATCCTCTCCAGCACCATCATCTTTCATAGCTTCGAGACGCCTGATTTCCTCTCTCATTTTCTCCAAGTCTTTTTCCAGTTTTCCTTGTTGCTGCAAGCACGTCACGACAAAAGATTTTATATGGTTTAAGATTGATTGATTGATGAATTGCCTGCCTGTGTTGATTGATTGATTGAAGAAGTGCCTACCTGTGTTGATTTGATTGATTGATTGATTGATTGATTGATTGATTGATTGATGCGCCTACCTGTGTCGTGAGGACATCACTCTGACTAGAGAAAGCACTGGACGATATAAAGTTCATCTGTTGGTCGCCATCATCATTCTCATCATCATCATCGTCATTGTCATCATTGTCACTGTCTGTGATGATGGCGTGTCGAGATGTCTTCCTCACGCCAACAGGAGCTTCATCACTCTGATACACCCAAATGATGGAGATGCAAACAGCACAGAAGTAGTTGGAGATAACAAAGACATCAGTCGTGATAATCTATCAGCCCTCTAAGTAGCGACCATTTTGGTGGCCAAATGTGACTTTAATCTACGACTGGAGACCTAAATTTATCTACTGCTTGCCACTTGGCTACCTTAAAGTAAACATTACTGGCAACAATATCTGTTTAAGATATAAACAGAGAGTAATTGCAAATCTTGTTTACCAAGTCGTGATTGTATGGCCAATGTCAAATACATAATTAATAGAAAAAATGTTGATGTATATATATTAAAAGTTAATAGAATTACAGGGGTTTCATTAATAGCTTGGGAATTTTTTAACCTGTTGCATTTACATGAACACGAGGGTAACATGGGGTTTTCATGCATCCGGTGTTAGGCTTTATCAAGTTTATATGAGCCGGAGACGGTTGGCATAAAACCCCACATTCCCGAGTGATACTGCTACAACAAATTTATCTCACCGACATGTTTTAATCTGCTGTTGTGAAAGAAATAAAGCAAATTATTAATTGATAGAAAACAGCTGTTCGATTGAGCCAAGGTTAACTTTGATTGACTCGGAAATAGTATGCAGCTTTTTGCTTCAAAGGGGGGTATAATGGATTTATTCTCCCACTGAGAAATCACTGTGCAGCCTGTTTTGTTCATGGTTTCCACCCTTGCCGAACTACGCTGGAATTCCTGAGCTCGATCGTAGCGCCACCAGTGGCTATTACGAGTTATGTCCCTTCTCTGCCTCTCCTATGGGCCATTAAGATTCTACCCCTCGTATCACTTGCATTTGCTTTAAACAAAATGGTGGCGCCCAGTGAAGACAATCTGATCGATCATCAAGATCTTTATTGTGGTAAAACGGATCTTACATCACGAATGCATCAAATCATTTGAGCACCTTGATCAAAAACATGAAAAGATTTGGTAAATATCTGTTGACACCGAGTTGGCAGAGCAAATGCTTTGCAAATCCTGTAATCGACCAAAATCTGCATGTCAGTTTACGAACCGGATTTCGATTTCATTGCGAGATTTGGATTGGACTATGCATGGACTCGTTAGTCCAGCTAAACTCTAACTCCATAATACCAGCCAAGTTCGGCAAGGGTGGAAACTGGACTTTTATAGTCAGTTAACACTCTTGCATCGGGAAGATGGTATTGATAATGATATGATTCAGTATCGATACAACTGTGATTCAGTATCGATACAGCAGTTATTTAGTATCGATACAGCAGTGATTCAGCAATGGCACAGCAAGATCACTACAGTAAGATAACAGCACACAGCCATCTCAATCAGATGTATTTATCAATCAATGAAGCAACAGATCACAGAACATCACTCACCTCATCCTCAGGGTCTGGCACAGGGCTACTGGCATGGACAGGGGAGCTTGTCTGTGGCAGGTCTGCAAACATTGCGTCACCTTCCGGCATGTCTGCTTTCCTTATCACTTCATCGTCATCCCGGAGCACAAACTCTTCATCAGAGCTGGAACACTCTGTCCTGGCCGCAGGCTCCTCAAAGTCATCCAACACCACAATGTCGTCATCAGCCTTATCCTCAATGGAGGACTGAACTGTTGGGAGATTTATTTCACAGTTAACTCTGTATCTTCGTTTATGTCCAGATGGTTCACTCTTAGATCTTCCCGAGAGTTCACACCCTGAAGACTCAACTGCTGCAACTTCATCATCATCATCACTTGACAACACATGTTTCGTCCTTCTTTTGGATTTAGCCTTATACTTAGTGGATGGATGAATCAGAGGCAGACTAACCCGTGAAGCACGTTCACCTTTGTGTCTTTGTTTCAGTCCATTCCCTTCTCCCTTTGATCTTCCCGACAGTTCACACCCTGATACCAAATCTTCATTGTCACTTGCCAACACATTCTTCTTCCTTCTCATGGAATCAGCTCCTTTCATCTTCCGAGATCTGCTCCCAGAACCAGGTCCAGCATGAGTTACATCACTCGGAGTTGGACCGACACATTCAGAATCTGTCAAGGACAACTGCTGCTTTGCAGGTGGACATCTCTCCTGTGATGAGGTCGACTGAGACTGAACTCTAATGTCTTGATTCACAGAATCTGGCATTCTCCCTGATGAAGACTTTGACGAGGAAATTACAATTGGACTGCTGGCACTTTCTTCCCTCGGCTGTTTCTTCTTCAGTGAAGCCAATCCTCTTGCAGCTTTAACACCCTTCTTAACCGATCTTGGTGTCTGGGGACTGTCAGAATCACTTGAATCTGCATCCAAGAACTGTGACTTCCTCTCCTTCACAGTGGCTTGTTCGGGGGAACATGTGGGACTGTCAACATCATCATCGTTGCAGGTTGGCACCAGTGTGTTCTGTGATGCATCGTCTGCTCCAGCAACGACTATGTTCCATGACTGCTCTGTATTTCGGTTAAAAATGTCCTCCATGGATTCCTGGACCTGACTGCTGTCTGAGATAGTATTCACAAGCTGTGGAGTATCATCAACACACTGTTGTTTGTGATGCACTGATACAATGTCAAACTCTGATTTTTTATCATGGCCAGAATTTTTATCCAAACTATGTCCTTTGCAGTTGCTGCTTTCAACAGTCCCACGCACGTCAGTGTCCATTGGTTCGTGATCTACGTTTACACATGTTCCTTCAACCTCCAGAGACTTCTTAGCGGATGGTTTTGCCCTCCTGCTTAATTTTTTCCTGGATTCTTTGGATCGAGCTCGCAGAGGACTTCCATCAAGAGAGAAACATTTCCTCTTCGGCCTATGAATGACAAGAGGCTCATCATCTGAATCATCAAGTGTAATTGTAACAGGGGCACTGCTGACTTCAGGAATACTTGGAGCTTCAGCTGAGTCCTGGAGTTGATGCAGGGCTGAAGTGTCCTCATCACCGTCACCTGCTTCAAGGCGCTTTCTCTTCTGAGGCTTGCTTCTTCTGTCAAAAGCTTGTGTATTCTGACGTATTTCTTTTCCAGTTGAATCCTTCTGTTGATTATTCTTATTCCTTGTCCTAGATGTTTTGAAATCAATGTCAGAATTCTTAAGAATGGAGACACTTTCAAGAGTGGAGGCTTCTCCCGACCTTCCAGGTGTCACATCCTGTTCATCTGGCTGCTCGAGTAGACTCAAGGATTCAGTCACAGTTTCAGGAACATCTACAGATGCTTCTGCAGCTCCACCATCAACTTCCACAACATCAGCAGCCTCTTGGTCATCACCGACACACACGTCTGGGGGCAAGGTCAGCTCATCACATCCCACAGGCAGGGATGTGGGGAGAGTTGACACCTGGCTGTCCACGTGACAGATTCCCGGTACTGGATCCTTTAACTTCTGTTTCTCCTGCCTAGAGTCTGTTACATTACAAATAGCTACAGCCTCCTCCGTATCTGAACACGCTATTTCAATAACAGGGTCCTTATTTCTGTTTGAACTCCTTCGAGAAACTCTAGATTTACATGTGGTCGCACTGCCGGCTGCCTCGTGTCTGCCTGCTCGAGTTCTCAACGACCTCGTAGATCTGCCTCTGTTGGTCTCAGCAGTATCTTCTATCAAGTTCACTGACTCTTCTTCTATACTTTCAGGAGTAGCATCTTCACTCTGACTTTTACCATCCGGAACCCCGAGCTTCTCAATACCAACAGCCATACCACTATCCTCACAACTGTCTTCATCTTGTTTTGCTATCACAGACCCTGAGTTTGCAGCGCCCATATTCTCTGCAGTAGTCACAGAGTGTGAGTTGTGTGAGTTGTGTGGAACATTACACATGGTGGTAGCAGTGTCTGCAGCAATAGTCTCCACCTCATCCTCTGAACACTGGTCAGCTAGAGCGCATCCTGGATTGTCACTTACAATACATTGTCGTTCCTGTGCTTTGTGATGTATTCTACCAGCAGAGGACAGTCCACATTGTGAAGGTGCTTGATTGAGGCTTACTACAGATTGTCTTTCCTCAGTATTCCTCTGCTTGCTAGTAGATGAGGATGGTCTACCTTGGCTGGGGGTCTTGTCACCATCAGCATCTTTTACAGTGCTTCCATCTCGATGACGTCCAGGGCATCCTTCAGCCTTGGACAACTGACTGTCTTCTGACATCTGAGACAGATGCTTCTTGATTTCATCAGGCTGGATGTCTGAAACAGACACAAAATAGAGTTAGTCAACAGTAAAACAAGCACCTGTAGAGTTGCAAGTTGATCTGATCGTTTGTTCGTTGCTTAACACTCTATTCAGCAATATTACAGCAATATGATGGTGGCCTGGAAACAAACAAGTCTGGACCAGACAATCCAGAGATTGATTTTATGAGCAACACAGCTGTGGTATGATGACAACAAAGTCCCCAAACCTGACCACCCAATCCATTTGGTCGGACTAGCAAAGGATGCTGGGAACACGGAGCCTCGTGCAGAGCTTCAAGTTAAAGTGAAAGTTCACAGATCAAATGGAGAAAGTTGACTTTATCAGGCATACCTAGATTAGCTTCTTCAAACTGTGTGTTTTCCAGAGAAATGTTGAGGTCTTCTGTGGATGAGCTGTTTCCTGAAGACGGCAGGTCGTCCTGAGTGACGTCATTGTCTACAGAAGGCAAATATGATTCATTTCAATTACAGCTGTTGATCTTGTACACTGAAGCAAGTGAACTGAGAAAGCAAGCACCTGCTCGTTTATGTAGGATGAGACAGCAAGCACATGTTAGTTTATGTAGGATGAGACAGCAAGCACATGTTAATTTATGTAGGATGAAACAGCAAACACATGTTAATTTATGTAGGATGAGGCAGCAAGCATATGTTAGTTTATGTAGTATGAGACAGCAAGCACATGTTTATTTATGTAGGATGAGACAGCAAGCACATGTTAGTTTATGTAGGATGAGACAGCAAGCACATGTTTATTTATGTAGGATGAGACGGCAAGCACATGTTAGTTTATGTAGGATGAGACAGCAAGCACATGTTAGTTTATGTAGGATGAGACAGCAAGCACATGTTAGTTTATGTAAGGTTAGATAGCAAGCACATGTTAGTTTATGTAGGATGAAACAGCAAGCACATGTTAGTTTATGTAGGATGAGACAGCAAGCACATGTTAGTTTATGTAAGGTGAGACAGCAAGCACATGTTAGTTTATGTAGGATGAGACAGCAAGCACATGTTAGTTTATGAAGGTTGAGACAGCAAGCACATGTTAGTTTATGTAGGTTGAGACAGCAAGCACATGTTAGTTCATGTAGGATGAGACAGCAAGCACATGTTAGTTTGTGTAGGATGAGACAGCAAGCACATGTTAGTTTATGTAGGTTGAGACAGCAAGCACATGTTTGTTTATTTACATTTGGAAAGTGTTATTTGACTTAACAAAGTAATAACCAATAAAACACAAGTATAAGTAAAGACCAAATTCTTTTATAATTTGTCATAAGTTTATTAAATTGCCGCTTTGTTGTCATCTGTACCTTTGATCATGTTGATAAGTTCAAAAATACTTTGGTTTCAATTTATTTGCTGCCATTTCTTCAGGAACTAATCACAGCAACTAAACTGAAACATGCGACCATAGTTAATAGTTAACAAGTGCTTTGGAGCTAACATTAAAAGTTATTTAAACGATTTGCAAACATAAACAACATTTCTTTGCTAGATTGGCAGGATTGAACACATGCTGTTATGGCTGAATTATACATGCAAAACAATTCTTGCTCAGACAATTGCTTTTAAACTTTAATAATGGCAGGTATGTGTGCTTGGCTAGCCAATGGTATTATTGTCTGAAGCACTCATAAAATGCTGCTGTTGTCAAGAGTGTGGGAAATAACTTGTAGAATTTTCCTATTCGGAATATTCTATAAGTAATACGTTACCACTGTTGTACCGAGGCTGTTGTCTCCCACAACTGCTGCTATAGCGAAATCTACCACAGAGATCTCAATTACCTCATGCTGCACGTGCGTAGCCACCTAGCTGCCATGTGACATCCTTCACTCTTGTCTCTTGCGAGAGCAAGTGCTCGGGGGACGGACGGGCGGGCAGCAGCCCAGTGGTAACGTATTACTGATAGAATATTCCGAATAGGAAAATTCTACAAATTACATTAAGTAATACGTTACCACTGTTATACCGAGGCTGACTACCACAGTAGGCGGTGGGGAGCACCTACAACCCGAATCCTGACTGCTAGCGTTCCTTCCGACCAGCGGAAGTAAACACCAAGGCGGAAGCACTCGATGCGCATGCACCTAGCTAGGCGTTACCCTATAGGAATACCAAAGCACTGTCAAGCACATACCGTAAGGCTCAATCGTCTTTGCTAAATGATTGGTGACTCCAAACGGCCCCACTGGATAGGTATTTCATCGCCGCAGCGGATGAGAACACTGTATCTGTGTGAGCTAAATCTTAGATCAGGTTAAACAGTCGATAAGAGGGAAATTAATTTCATTCGGACAATATATCCTAGAGCAAGCCTACTTCAAGTATGCATTAGGCGCGTGACCTAATTCCAGTATTTTTAAGCATGCATCACAAGGTTGGGATACACGACAGACAATTAAATACATAATTGTCAAAATACAAATAAGGACAAAGCACACAAAATCCGCCCTCACCTGTGGTGTGAGTGCGCTGGTTTGCGGGACCCCAACTCCTGTACCCACGGCGGTGGGAACATTGGAGTCGACCCAGATTGACCACCGTGCAAGGTCTGACGCCTGAGGAGTTCGGAATTGCGCTGGGCACACCCCTTAGGTGACCACTTGCGCCGCGATCAGCGGCCCAAGACGGTGTACACTCTCCACGTCGTTATCAGCTACCTGTTTGAGGTAATGATTGGAAAAAACCAAGTCAGAACACCAGTAACAACCTCGTAATATTCTGCGAACAGAGATATTCGAGTGTAGGGCAAATGTTGCCGCTAGCGCCCTGATCTCGTGCGGTTTGACCCCGCTACCGGTAACCCCCGAGACCGGTACGCCAGATTGACGACAGAACGAAGCCATAACGCAATCGAGTTGCGAGTTATGTCAACCGTGCGATTAGGGTTACACGATATGAACAGACGGTCACGCCCTTGTCTGCATTCATTCAAAGCCTTAAGATAATACTTAAGGGACCTAACCGATCACAGCGATCTGTCCTCAGGATCAGCTTGATGTAAGATTTCCTTGAGTGATCTTACAGTGAATTCTCTCTCCGTTTGGCCCATGTCAAAGGAGAGGAGAAATGCTGTTTACCAAGTCACATGCTGGAACGAAGCACTACTCAAGGGTTCATACGGAGCTTCCGTAAGTGATTTCAACACTAAGGAAAGATCCCAGGCCGGTGCCCGAAGGCGGCTGTTCTGAAGATCTTGCTGTTTGAAACCCTTGATAATACCCCGAATCACCGGCTCTTATGAGAGACTGGTTCCCATAGCAACATCCCCTACCGTAGCAACGGAAGAGACATAGTTGGCAATGGAGAGTTTCCGGGTCTCTCGTAAGTGAGACATGAAACGAGCAATATCCTGCACAGATACCTTATCTGGCGAATGAAAGTGATGTTTACAACACCACTTCGTGAAAATAACCCAACGTGCATTTTACACCTTCTGGGTAGAATCACGATGCATACTAACGTATGCCCGAGACGCCCGACAAGAAACACCTTTACTCCTCAGACGCTCGGTGACAACATCCACGCGTGCAGATTGAACTGCCCTGTGGGGCTCGGATCTCGGATCCCGAGGCTTCGATAGAGCGTCGGCCAGTACGTTCCGCACACCTGGGATGTGACGGGCGCGTACCTTGCACGGGACACTGTCCACCAGAGCGTAAAACTCGAATGTGAGATCGAGTAGCGAGTGACTGTGGGTTCCCCCCAGTTTGTTCACATGGGACACTAACGTCGTGTTGTCGGTCGCCAGCATGAGCCGGGCGTCGATGAGACGATGCTTCCAGTGATTGACTGCGTTTATCACTGCCTTGAACTCGGGACAATTGATGTGAAGACCTAGTTCGTCTACGCACCACAGCCCTGAGCTCACCTCCCCCTCTAGATGGGCGCCCCAGCCCACTAGAGAGGCGTCTGTATACAGGTTCAACGTGGCCCGGTAGGGCCGCATAGAGACTCCTGATAAGACATTGTAGGGACCGTCCACCACTCCAGATGCGGGCGGAGCCGATCTACGAAGCCGATCACTGTTCTCCTCCTTGGCTAACAACTGGATTGGAAACCGTTGCAGCGGGCGGAGTTGGAGACGACCCCGATCGGTGCAGTCCAGGGCGGACACAAGTAGCCCTTACAGCTGTTCCCAAAAGTGAACAGTCTGTGGCACCGCTAAGACTTTGGCAATCATCGACTGAATCTTGTGCCACCGGTCTGGGGGGACAAAGAGGCGATGGGTCACCGTGTCGAACCGACCTCTAAAGAACTTCAAGTTCTGTGAGGGGGTTAACTCGCTCTTGGGGAGATTGACAATCCACCCCAATTGCTCCAAGAGCCAAAGTGCAAAATCGAGCTGATGAGACAGCACGTCCGTCATTCAATTTGCAACTAGCGAGTCGTCCAGGTACGCGAAGTACCTGACACCCCTCCTGTGGAGGAACCCCACTATGGGGGTGGCGAACCGGGTGAACAGCCAGGGAGCGGACGTGTCAATCATTCTGAGTTCGGCACTGTCCTACTTGGGAACGGGAAATATCCTGGAGTAAAACCCCGGTGTTATTTCTGGTAGAGCTAACTCCCGTACTGCCCCTTCTCCACCAACCTGCCGATGGCATCGGCGAGGATGGGAAGATCGGTTTCCGAATCGAAACCTGCCAACGGGGCAACGGTGAGCGGCGGATTCGCTTTGAGATCTAGCCGATAGCCGTACCGAATCGTGTTGACCACCCACGGGTCATCGAACACTTGTTCCCAATTCTCCCAGTAAGTCTGGAGTCTGGCTCCCACTGGGGAAGGAGAGGCCCTGACAGGCTGCGGCAGGCGCAACCGTCCCGGGCCAAGTGACTCGGGTTCGCCTAAGGGCCAACCGAAGTTGGCGCCGTCGGCATACGAACCCCTCCAATCAGAGTCACCTGGAGGGGCCCTTGCGACGACTTGGGCTTCCCTCAGTTCCCCGTCTTCCCGCGAAAGGGCAGCTGATTGCCCATACCGGAGCCCTCAGGGCGGGGCTTCTTCCCAGAGGAAGAAGAACCCGACCCCTAAGACCTACGGCCGCAGCAGCCTGGAGCGGCACCCAGGCGCCTATGCAGGGACCCAACAAGAGCAAGTGTGTGCCGAGAGTCCTCAGCAACGTACTCCAGGGAAGCATTTAAACTGAGCAGGCAGTTGTAAATGCCCTGGTCACGGTCCGTGGGAGAACCTTCGACCAGACTGGCCGCTGCAGCCAAGTAAGTGTCTCCGTGAGACATGACAAGCATGGAGTGCCGAGCGAGGGCGTCCAGCTGGTGCAAGGTAGCTTGCGTTATCGTAGCAGCCAGTGGGGCACAGACACCCTACCGCTCAACATGGGCCTCCGCGGTAGGACCAGCCTCGGGAAAGGCAAGGTCATGTACCGGGAATAAACCCTTTCTCCACGACGTCGGAGGCAATGGGAGACCCCGACCGGAGGCTGCCGCGAAGGCGTTCTCCACGGAAGGCTTGATACCGCGCAGCAAGGTTGATGCGGGGAAAGCCGTGTCGGAAGACTCATCGTATACCTCGGAGGAACCCACAGAGCCGTGGATTCCCCGCGGTACCGGCCGGGGCCGTGGCATGTCCTGAAAGAGGTCATAAACCATGGCCACGCGGTCCTTAACCGATAGCGGGAGCAACGGTTCGGGGGAAGGACCGGTGACCACGGGAGCCGCCGCCGTACCGGTGGACCCAGCGGCCACCGAAGTGGCCGGGGACGGAACAGCCAGTCACGCCGAAGACCCGGGTTCGATTCCCGACATGGGTACAATGTGTGAAGCCCATTTCTGGTGTCCCCCACTGTGATATTGCTGGAATATTGCTAAAAGCGCCGTAAAAACATACTCGCCAGTTGGATCATTTTGTTAACTGATATTGGTTTTCAACCCATTACACATGTGAATGTGAAAGGGATATAAAATATATTAATTCAAATAATGGATACTTTTGATAAAGTTATTTCGCTGGGATAACAGTGCATTCTGAGCGGTTTCGTGAGTTTTGTTAACAATGGTAAGCAGTTATGAACACAGCATGTGTCATGTATTTGACAACATGCATATCAATTTCAGCTAGTTCCACCCTTTTTCTGGCTCTGAATGATTAGAAATTGGTAGATCATGCAAACCTGCCATCAAAAATCAGAGAAAGGCAGGTAACGTTGATGATATCAAGATATCTTACCTTGCCTGGCAGTATTCACATCCTGTTGGTGGACAAGCTCCACACTGGGCGTGAGTGAAATGTGAGTCTGTCCGGAGCTCTCTGCCAATGATGCCACATCCCCTACATCCAGTTTCTCGGCATCTGTCTTTGTTTCTCTACCAGCAGATTTTGATTTCTTGCGAGGGATGGGAAGAGGCATTTGGCTACATGAATCTGAATCTGTCAGATGCACCTCATCATTTCTGGGGTCAGTGGTCACCTTGCTGACCTGTCCACGATGTTTGGCCATATGTGATGGCGGAATGCTCCTAACTGGTTGACCTGTAGCAGCTGACAACATCGGTGTTGGTGGTATTATTGACATAGTCTGAGACTTCTCCGTGTCATTTGAGTTGGAGGAACTAGAGTTGGTGGTCTGTGACTTGAGATTATCTGTTGGACCGTTCCCAAAGCTGCCCTTGACTGTGTCATCGCAATCAATCATCTCAATGTCTTCATGCATCACGTCACCAAACCCTTCAACCAGTTGAGCACCATCTCCTCCCTGCTCAGCCATATTGGACACAGCATCCTGGGTACAAAATGCAAAATCATGATCCTCAGCGTCTCCGATCTTCTCAATGAGGCTGCTCAGTTCCTGATCAGGACTTTTCAAAGCGAAATGGACATGTTTTGTAGCTTTGCTTTTGTCTTTCTTCGTAGTCATATCAGACTCTACACCTCCTCCCACTTCAGACGAACTGGCCTCCTTGGTCTGGAGATCAGCCATCTTCAAACTGAATTTGTTCCCCTTCTTTTTCCCAGGCTTTCTTCCTCTCTGTTTCTGAATCTTCTGCTTTGGTTTCACTGTCTGACTACTCTTGAACTCGTACGGGTCTGACGATGGCAGCTCCAACTCTGTAGTTTTCTTCCCTGTTGAAACAACCTCCGTCTCCTTTGTCCCTCTTGTCTTAAACATCCTCCTCCTGTTGGCCGGAGGTGCTTGTGTCTTTTGCCTTGATTCTTGAATTCCCTCAACCGAATTAGCAACATTTGGTCTTGATCCCCCAGCTGCATCGCTCTCAGAAATGCTGAATCCAAAGTTTTCAACTTCACTGTCTACATTAATCGCAATCGGTTCACAGTTCTCTGTATTCCTTGACACCATGTTGCAATGGTTACTAGCCAGAGAATCATTCTGAGAGAAGTTTCCTTTGTCTGTGGCATGCTGTGCTTCCTCTATCCACTGTGCCACCATGCTTGACTTTTGATGCTTCCTCACTTGAGCCTTGCTGTACGTCTTCACTGGACCAACACTGTGAAAGTCCTTAGTCAAGTTGGGAGCATCCATGCTGCTGAGAGGACTTCCTTCATGAAAGTCTGTCTCATATTGAGACTTCTGTGTTGCTTCGATCTTGTTCTTCCCTCCTGGGGTTCCCCTTGCTGCCCGTCCGGTATAGATGCTGAGTTTAGATTTTATTGGTTTTTCCTTTTTCTTGACTTCCTGAGACTGAAATAACAGACCCCCATCGCCGCTAACATCCGACCCACACCTTTCCCCCTCATATTCAGTTTCTGGGGTCAGTTGTAAAATCTGTTCAATCCGGGAAACATGTTTCTCTGATGTTCGGGTCAGACGGCCATCCTTCTCTTCCACACCAACACAAACAGGACTGAAACCCTTACTTCCAACTGTGCTACTATTTCCTACAGATATTGTTTCAGTTTTGAAACATTCGTTCATATCAATGTCCATTGTTTCGATACAAGAGTTATCTCCCTTTCTTTCTACAATTTCCTTATTTCCGAGTGTTTTAGCTTCTACTGACTTTGTTTCATTATTTAAACATTCATCCACATCAATGACCACTGCCCCGTCACAAGACTTATCATTTCCTTCACCGTCCCTCGCTTCCCTTTGACCTGTCGACCTCTCATCCGAAGCATCTCCTGTTCCACCTACGCCAGACAAAACCTTGATGGACGAATCCTCGTCTGTACCAACACTGTAACCACCGACAGTCATACCCTTGTTGACTCCGCATGACCCTTCTACAAGGTACTTCAACAACGCTGCCTCTTGCTCTAAATCTGACATATGTCTCTCGTCTGACTCAAGTTTCTCTCCCTCTTGCTCTAAAGCCGACATTCGTCTCTCATCTGACTCCCGTCTGTCTCCGTCTCCCACTCGCTCCTCTCCTCCATGCGATGGCACGTGGTCTTGTCGACTGCGTCGCGTCTTCCTGATGTTGCGTGTTCCAGTGCTGCCAGTGTTTCTCAAGTGAAGAGCTGGCGGATGTAGACGAGTCTCAAGTTTTTCTGTAGTTTCTTCATGTTGGGCATGACTGGAATGTCAAAGAACAAAACAGGAAATTTTAGTATAACTTCTATATTTATAGACTTATTCTACCTCACACTATGCATATCTTCTATCTTCTTCTATCCTAGTGGAAACGTTCTTGAATCATATTTCCAGCTTCTAAAACAAAAACATGAACCCAAACACACCCCAGCATCTCTATGGTTACGACCAACAGCTGGGTCAATAACATGCTCTCGTGCCAGCAACCTTCCACGCTTTGACACCTGCATCTCTCTGCCAACTCATTCTTCTTTCTAATCGCCATCGTGTGCGAAGTGTTTCTTGGACCAAGAAATTATATGCATTATTTTTTTTAGACTAATGACAACCATCTCCAAGTAGAGTGCAGGATCATACGATGGAAAGCGTGTGCATGGGTTCTGGTTATGTTCCACTAATGTTATATCATTCTGATTCATAAAAATACTTTCATACAAAAAAAAAACACATTAATATATTGTGTATCTATCAAATATACCCCCACCCCACCTGCAAGTCAGAGTTAGGACAGATCCTCCAGTTATATAAGCGGTACAACATAATGCCAACAAGAATAGTATTTTGTTTGTTCATACAGCCCTGATGGCAAGTTCTCTGTGACATTATCTGGCCAATTTTCCTTCTTCCATAAATGTAGACATTAGTGAATGAGTGAGTTAAAGTTTAACGTCATATCGGCAATATTTCAGCCATATCGTGACGAAGTAGACAGTAGTGAGTGAGTGAGTATGGTTTTACGCCGCTTTTACCAATATTCCAGCAATATCACAGCGGGGGACACCAGAAATGGGCTTCACACATTGTGCCCATGTCGGGAATCGAACCCGGGTCTTCGGCGTGACGAGCTAACGCTTAAACCACTAGGCTACCCGACCGCCCCTGTAGACAGTATGTGTCCTGGTCTCACCTCCCTGCAGGTACTGCGTCTCCTGGGCTGTCAACACGTCCTGTGGCCTGCTTCCCACCTCTCCGGGCCTGACAACACATGCAGCAGCTGACATGAGTGACTGTTTCAACACCCAGGGTACCAACAACTGGTACTTCTCTGTACGTATTGCATGATAATACAGACATCACTAGCCGAGTGTGATCGTGCATGTTACAGTTAAATTTGTTTGTTTGCTTGTTGTTTACGCTGCACTCAGCAATATTCCAGCTATATGACGGCGGTCTGTAAATAATCGTGCCTGGACCAGACAATCCAGTGATTGACATCATGAGCATCAATCCACGCAATTGGGATACCGTGACATGCATCAACCAAGTCAGCGAGCCTGACCACCCGATCCTGTTAGTTGCCTTTTACATACCAAAATTGACGAGTGTTGTAACTAACTAAGAAATACCAAAAAGGATGAGAAAACGTCGGGATACCTTATAGTGAGACCATGAGAAGTGAAGTCATGACATGTAGGATTGAACACCCTTTCATCACCTGCCCCAGTGCCTCATGGGACAACAGTGGGTTACAGAATGTAAAATGAGGTTGCAGGTTCAATTCTCATCAGGAAATTTTCATGTGAAAAGAATCATGACTTCTAATCAGTCAAAAATCAATATTAGATGCACTTAAGAGGCTGTTTATACAATTCAACGGTAAAACCTCCAAGGTCTTACAATTCAAAAGTAAAACCTCCAAGTAGGTCTTACAATTCAACAGTAAAACCTCAAAGGTCTTACAATTCAAAAGTAAAACCTCCAAGAAGGTCTCACAATTCAACAGTAAAACCTCCAAGGTCTTACAATTCAAATGTGAAACCTCCAAGAACGTCTTACAATTCAACAGTAAAACCTCCAAGAAGGTCTTACATTTCAACAGTAAAACCTCCAAGAAGGTCTAACAATTCAAACGTAAAACCACTCGGCAGATCTCACTTGAAGGTAGAACCTCTCACAATGTTACAATGAGGTTGCAGGACACCTTCAATAAGGCAATAATGGCAATAGGCTTATAAGTATACATATGTATTAAATGCAATAATGAACTAAGCATTAACATGATTAAAGCCTTGGGGACAAATATCTGCCTCCTATATCAATTTCCTGCCGGCTTTTGAAACTGCCAGTCCCAGAGGATTGGCAACTATAAAAATTACCAATCCTACCTAATTTTTGTCAGTCCCAACATGGAACAAATAAAAAACGTATAAAAATTACCTGGTTTAAATTCTTTCAACATCAATTTCAATGCAGAGTACTTTCATGGCTGACAAATTCAGTGATGTCATTTCTGAAGTAACTTATTTAGATTTACACATATTCACACTAAGTTCAATCACAATTTACTCTTTATTTCTGAATATTTTACTTTCACTTGAGACTAGGTCACTACAAATAGATATTTATTTAATCTCAAAGCAAAGCAAAATATTATTTCCTTGAATTCAAAATAGAAAATATTATTTCCTTGCACGCAAAATAGACAATATCATTTCCTTGAACTCAAAATAGACAATATTATTTCCTTGCACTCAAAATAGACAATGGGAAACCTTGATGATAACAGACGAGCTAACTTCATTCGAAAAGTATACTTTTTTTGACTATCGATGATGTTTTGTTCAACAACAAAGATTTACAAGGTACTTTATTTGCCGGTCCACAGGGACTGGCAGTCACAACAATTACCGGTTCAAGCCTCATTTTACTGGTAACAAAACGGGTAATTACCGGAAAACAGGAACACTGCTTGATGCAGATCTACACAAATCTCTGAGACTGTTGTCATTGCTGACCAAACAGACACTTGGTACAACATCAGGTTATTACCAACCTGTCTCTTGCTGGAAGTTGTCTCCCTTGGGAAGATGGGCTCGGGGGTGCAGGGGAAGAAGTCTGTTCCCAGGTGACCTCGAGATGGGCTGACTGGAGGGGGAAAACACAACATGACACAAGTGACCTCGAGATGGGCTGACTGCAGGGGAAAAACATGACAAGTGACCTCGAGATGGGCTGACTGGAGGGGGAAAACACAGCATGACACTATTGACCTCGAGATGGGCTGACTTGAGGGGCAAAATACAGCAGGACACAAGTGACCTCGAGATGGGCTGACTGGAGGGGCAAAACACAACATGACACAAGTGACCTCGAGATGGGCTGACTGGAGGGGCAAAAGACAGCAGGACACAAGCGACCTCGAGATGGGCTGACTGGAGGGAGCAAAACACAAGAGGTCACAAGTGACCTCGAGATGGGCTGACTGGAGGGAGCAAAAGACAGCAGGACACAAGTGACCTCGAGATGGGCTGACTGGAGGGGCAAAAGACAGCAGGACACAAGCGACCTCGAGATGGGCTGACTGGAGGGAGCAAAACACAAGAGGTCACAAGCGACCTCGAGATGGGTTGACTGGAGGGGGCAAAACACAACATGACACAAGTGACCTCGAGATGGGCTGACTGGAGGGGCAAAAGACAGCAGGACACAAGCGACCTCGAGATGGGCTGACTGGAGGGAGCAAAACACAAGAGGTCACAAGTGACCTCGAGATGGGCTGAATGGAGGGGGAAAACACAACATATCACAAGTGACCTCGAGATGGGCTGACTGGAGGGGCAAAAGACAGCAGGACACAAGCGACCTCGAGATGGGCTGACTGGAGGGAGCAAAACACAAGAGGTCACAAGTGACCTCGAGATGGGCTGACTGGAGGGGGCAAAACACAGCAGGACACAAGTGACCTCGAGATGGGCTGAATGGAGGGGGAAAACACAACATGACACAAGTGACCTCGAGATAGGCTGACTGGAGGGGCAAAAGACAGCAGGACACAAGCGACCTCGAAGATGGGCTGACTGGAGGGAGCAAAACACAAGAGGTCACAAGTGACCTCGAGATGGGCTGACTGGAGGGAGCAAAACACAAGAGGTCACAAGTGACCTCGAGATGGGCTGACTGGAGGGGGAAAACACAACATGACACAAGTGACCTCGAGATAGGCTGACTGGAGGGGGCAAAACACAGCAGGACACAAGTGACCTCGAGATGGGCTGACTGGAGGGGGCAAAACACAGCAGGACACAAGTGACCTCGAGATGGGCTGACTGGAGGGAGCAAAACACAAGAGGTCACAAGTGACCTCGAGATGGGCTGACTGGAGGGAGCAAAACACAAGAGGTCACAAGTGACCTCGAGATGGGCTGAATGGAGGGGGCAAAACACTACATGACACAAGTGACCTCGAAATGGGCTGAATGGAGGGGCAAAACACAAGAGGTCACAAGTGACCTCGAGATGGGCTGAATGGAGGGGGCAAAACACTACATGACACAAGTGACCTCGAAATGGGCTGAATGGAGGGGCAAAACACAGCAGGACACAAGTGACCTCGAAATGGGCTGAATGGAGGGGACAAAACACAAGAGGACACAAGTGACCTCAAAATTGGCTGACTGGAGGGAGCAAAACACAACATGACACAAGTGACCTCGAGATGGGCTGACTGGAGGGAGCAAAACACAAGAGGTCACAAGTGACCTCGAGATGGGCTGACTGGAGGGAGCAAACCACAACATGACACAAGTGACCTCGAGATGGGCTGACTGGAGGGAGCAAAACACAAGAGGTCACAAGTGACCTCGAGATGGGCTGACTGGAGGGGGCAAAACACATGAGGTCACAAGTGACCTCGAGATGGGCTGACTGGAGGGGGCAAAACACAAGAGGTCACAAGTGACCTCGAGATGGGCTGACTGGAGGGAGCAAAACACAACAGGACACAAGTGACCACGACATGGGCTGACTGGAGGGGGCAAAACACAAGAGGTCACAAGTGACCTCGAGATGGGCTGACTGGAGGGAGCAAAACACAACAGGACACAAGTGACCTCGAGATGGGCTGACTGGAGGGGGCAAAACACATGAGGTCACAAGTGACCTCGAGATGGGCTGACTGGAGGGGGCAAAACACAAGAGGTCACAAGTGACCTCGAGATGGGCTGACTGGAGGGAGCAAAACACAGCAGGACACAAGTGACCTCGACATGGCCTGAATGGAGGGAGCAAAACACTACATGACACAAGTGACCTCGAGATGGGCTGACTGGAGGGAGCAAAACACTACATGACACAAGTGACCACGACATGGGCTGACTGGAGGGGAAAATACAACATGAGAAGAGTAGAGAAGAAAAAGACAACATGACACAGGTGACCTCATCACTCACATACACGCCTGGATGTTTGCTCTGGGAGATGAGGTTTGTTAGAAAAATCGAAAGCAGTGTATTTCACAGTTTTCTGTGTTAGAATTAATTAATATTTTCACCAGTTTAGCAAGTGGGCAGCCGTTATCACTTATGGGTCTGATGTCACCATCAGCAGGGCTGAATAGTCAACACAACAACATCCTTCATTGTTGTCCCTTAACTAGCATGCGGTGTCAGAGGATTTTTTTTACTTCAATTTTCCCCAATGAGTTCCCTCATAGAAACAGAAGCAGGTCTACTCACAAAACTCCCCTGTGTCTTCTTGGTAGGCTGTGATCAGACCTCGGACGTGCTCCACAATGTCCGACAGTCTGTCTTGATCCTGCAGACTCCTGGAAAGCAAGCAAGTGAATGTTGTTTTATGCCACAGTCAGCAATACTGCTGGACCAGATAAACCAGTGACTGAACGCATGAACAACTATCAACATCATTCAGAGATTCTCACACAAGGAACGAAGTCCCAGAACCAATCCTGGTTAGCCATCGAGATTTTGTTATCAGCTTCAATTTTACTTCGAACAGATACAGGTTACTCATCTAACCACAAACAAGTGAGGAAACTTTTGTTTGCATCACGGCAGCACTGTAAGTATATTGACAAACCAGTGTTTGGCCCCGCATTACACCCAACACCATCGGGGTATGATGACACTATCAACCTTGTCACGCAGCCTGACAGCCTGATCCACTTAGTCACAACGACAGGCATAGGTTGCTGGGGTTGGTTCGTTGGTTGGTTTGTTGTTTAACGCAGCACTCAGCAATATTCCAGCTATATGACGGCGGTCTGTAAATAATCGAGTCTGGACCAGACAATCCAGTGATTAATACCATGAGCATCGATCCACGCAATTGGGATCAATGACATGTATCAACCAAGTTAGCGAGCCTGACCTCCCAATCCCGTTAGTCGCCTTTTACAACAAGCATAGTCGCCTTTTACGGCAAGTATGGGTTGCTGAAGACCTATTCTACCCCGGGTCCCAAATCCTTTGGCAAGACAGGCATAGGTTGCTGGAGTCCTATGCTAACCCAGAATCCATGTGGGGAGATAAGCACAGGCGCACGTATTCTAACCCGAATCCCCTGGTGAGACAAACATAGGTTATTGGGACCTATTCTAATCCAGAATCCCCTAGAGAGACAAGCATAGGTTATTGGGACCTATTCTAACCCAGAATCCCTGTGTACAGAGTGAATACTTCCATATGGTTAGGCTTAGAGACAGGGTTCAAGTTAGAGTTAGGTATGGCCACTGCTATTTCTCACCTTCTCGTTACTGGCTCCTTGCACAGCGGACATGGCACATGTGTCTTGGTCTTCAGAAACTCTGTGATGCAGAATCTAGAAGCAGAAAGCACTCACTGTCACACCTAGACAGACTCGTGGAGAACTACATGAATGCCATTGAGTCTATCATGTCTATGTCATCTTCCTGGGGTAAAGGTGTTAACTGCCTAAAAATGTCCAGTTTCCACTTGCCGAACAAGGCTGGAATTTCCAGGTTCGATCGTAGAGCCACCATCATTTTCCCGAGGCAAGAGAGTTAACTGACGATAAAAGTCCAGTTTCTATCCTTGCCTAAATAGGCTGGTATTATGGAGTTACATTTTGGCTGGACTAACGTGTCTATGCATAGTTCAATCAAAATCGAAATCTGGTTTGTTAACTGTCGTGCAGATTTCGGTTAATTGCAGGATTTGCAAGCATGTGCACCGCCAACTCGTTGTCAGCAGATATTTTCCAAATATTTTCATGTTTTTAATCAAGGTGCTCATGTGATTTGATGCATTTCGCGATGTAAGGCCCGTTTTATCACAATATAGATCTTGATCATTGATCAGATTGTCCTGACTGGGCACCACCATTTTGTGTGAAGCAAACACAAGTGATACGAGAGGTGGAATCTGATTGGTCCATAGGAGAGGCTTAGAAGGGACATAACTGGTAATAGCCACTGGTGGCGCTACGATCGAGCCCAGTAATTCCAGCCTAGTTCGGCAAGGGTGGAAACTGGACTTTTAAATCAGTTAACCCTCTTGCCTCGGAAAGATGCGCCACCAGTGTCTACGTCCCTTCTACAGAGCTCCAGATAAGCTTTTGGTGTTGTGGGTATTTTACCCATGCATTTAAAAATCATTGGGTATCAGTAATTCTATCTGGGTATTTAAATTTCTGTTACCCACTAGTTTTTACACATGTGGGTATTTAAGTTAAATATTTAAAAACACTATTCATCTAGGCCCTGCAAACTGGTTTCGTGTGGGTTCGAGAGCTTTATAGGACTCAAAAATACCACGATACTTCAACAAGAAAGTGTGATGGCAAATGATCATGATGTAACTGTCATCGTGGAGTTTGGCAAGGTTGACGGAATGCCCGTTTATAATTTCAAAATAAGTTGCCGATTTGCTAATCGAATACGCAGGGTTACTTCACAATATTTTGATGATACGCACAAGTTTTATTTTTGTAGCATATCTGTAATGTTCGTTGCGTATTTGATACGCTTGGATTTTATTTTACTGCGTATTTCTGCATTCCTTATGTGTATTTTACACAGATACGCAGCTTATCTGGAGCTCTGCTTCTACGTTCCTCATATTGGCTAATTAGATTTAAGCTCTCATATATTGCTTGCATTTGCTTCAAACAAAATGGTGGCGCCCAGTTAAGACGATCTGATCGATAATCAAAATCTCTATTGTAATAAAACGGGTCTTACCACGCGAAGTGCATCAAATCACTTGAGCACCTTGATTAAAAACATGAAAAGATTTGCAAAATTTCTGTCGACTCCCAGTTGACGAAATCTGCACGTTGAAATCCATGTTGTTTATGAACCGGATGTCTAGTTCATTACACGATTTTGATTAGACTATGCATAGACTAGCTAGTCCAGCCAAAATGTAACTCTGTAATTCCGGCTTAGTTCGGCAGGGAAGGAAACTGGCCTTTTAAAGTCAGTTTACAACTTTGCCCCGGGAAGATGTGTCTGTGAATGTTGGGGTAGTGGAAATATACAGATTGCATATCCTCAATTCCACGCCTTATCATGCTTATAGAGAATCCCCAAATGCAATGTATTATCATTAGGGACTAGTCATTTTATATTCTTGGGAGGGGGAATGGAGAAGGATGTGGGATTTTAAAACAAATAAACAGAAAGAAATAGTTTGTTCCAAAGTATGCCGGACAAAAACATTTTGCCTCAAGATTTTACCAAAAAAATTGTAATTTTTCCCTGAATGTCCTCTCCACACCAACCAAAATGTCAGGAAAATAATTGTTTTCTTCCTTCTTCTTTCAGAGTTCTAAACATACATAAGAAGTTGTATATTTTGAAACTAACTGAAAAAACATTATGACTTTAAAAACGTCCCCAGCTAAAACTTCTGCTGGGACATTTTACATTCTCTTACCCAGAGTTCTTTGCAGCCAACCTAGTACCTTTGTCACAGGCCGGCGAGATGTGACAACTACATGCAACAATTTACCTTTGCTACTCATTCATTCTTTGTTTGTTGTTTAATGCCGCACTCAGCAATATTCCAGCTATATGAAGGCAGTCTGTAAATAATCGAGTCTGGACCAGACAATCGAGTGATTGACAACATGAGCATCAACCAAGTCAGCGAGCCTGACCCCTCGATCCCGTTAGTTGCCGCTTACGACAAGCATAGTCACCTTTTTCGGCAAGCATGGGTTGCTGAAGACCTATTCTACCCCAGATCTTCATGGTCTACTCATTCATTACACAGCATATTGCATGTACTGATGATCTACTAAAACATTCACAGGTAGCACCACAAATGCCAAACTCATTCATTTTAAAAAGACCACATGTTCCTAAACATTGTAGACAACTGAAGAGTAGGCGATTTAATGTAAATGTAATGCTTGTTGTTGTGATCAATATTCCACAACAACGTCATCGTGACAATCATAGAACGGTCACACACAGGCAAGTCTATAAACCTGTGCTCACCCAATCCCAATTTTGATGTTAGACAGCTCCTATACCTAAAGACTAGTATAGGTTGCTGGGGACTGGTTCTGACCCGCTAACGCCAAGGCAATGCAATAACTTAATTTCCAACGCTATGGACGGGTCTCAAGATGACATTTTGTTCGAGGAGTTCGTGTCCCCCGCCCTGGTTTCCACGGATGTGGAAGATGTAATGTCATGTGATGACCTCGATGACTACTATGACGATACGACAGGTGTAGATGCGTGGGCAATTCTGGCCGGTGAGGACAGCGACACCGAATTTGATGGTTTTACAAGGGATGATGTAATGTAAATAATAATGTTTATTAGTTCTTATTTGTTACAAGGGATGATGTGAAGTAAATGATAATGTATATATGTTTTTATTTAGTTATTTGAACACAAAACAAATAACAAAAATACACTGATTTGAAACTAAATATTCGACTTGTGTTTTTCATTTGTTGGTATATTTTCTCACGGGTTCATAATTCTATAAACACCGTTTCACAAAATGGCGCTTCGTTGTTGATGCCAACAAAAAACGATCATAATGAGATTAAAAAAAGACAAGAGAAACAGCGTCCCACATTTTGAAAGTGGATGACTGGTTTGTTAAATCTTTATTAGAAATAATAATGACTTTCCAATATAATTACAACGTTTTTCATCTTATATTATTGAATCTCTGAGATTACCGCCACATGTCTTCGACATCGGCGCAGACCGACCTCGCAGTGTTTTTTGCCTTGCACTTCCTGGTTCGGCTTATCTGCGGGTTATATCATTTTCTTTCGTATTTCAATGGTCAAGTTAACACCTCGGCTTATCTGCGGGGTCGGCTTATCCGCGGTCATATACGGTACCATATTTTCTTGAGTATAGTGTGCACCCGCTCTAAATCTTTTCAGCAGAAAACACAAGAACTCCCGTATGCGTGAAGAGGGTGAAACAATACATCAGTGCACCGTGAGTTTTCATGCAATGATACGATACATGATGGTTTTTTCTGTATCGATACAAGACAATACACTTGCTAAAAAAAATTACTTACTACTCGTTTAATGACTTCAGCATTTTTGTCTGTCAAATATCACAAAATGTGATGTAATTAGCATTTCAAGTTCACTACCACAAACATGTGTCTACAGCTAGCTTTTCCTTTTGAACCTGCTCTGAAATATTAGTAAGAAATGTCCACACGATTTGACGTAAAGATGGTTATCACGATACGTATCATATTGTTGCCTATGTATCTTGATACGTATCGTATCATAACCTTGCTGTATCGTTTCACCCCTAATGCTATATTAGGTGCAACCCTCACAGTATGGCTTCATTTTGGGAAAAGAGCAAAAAGTGTGCATTATATGAAAGGAAATATGGGACACATATACGATTATTGCTTACCTGCAGAAATGGTGATGGCATCTTGTTGCAATAGGGTTCTTCAGCAGATCAAGGCTGAAATACAACCCTTATCATGAAGACAATAAGATTCCAGCCTCAAAGTTCATAATACAATCAAGTCCATGGTTACTAATCTGCAGTAAAATAATCAACAAAAGCAGTAAACTATTTTAGAACATGGCTCAGTTGTTCATATGAAAACTTTCGCCCTGATTATGTATCTAGGGTTGTCAGCACCATACCCATGCTCGTGGGTTTCACCAAAGTGGTAAGCGTCTGAGACCTGCCTCACTTCGGGCTTTCCTCCCACATTAAGCTGACACGCCACGATACAACTGGAATACTGTTAAAAGCGGCATAAAACCCAACTCACTCACTCATATGAAAACTAGTGAGGACACTCGAAATGTCTTCTATTCTTATTCCTAGTGGTAGAGCAATTGCCCGGACAGCGATGGTCGGAGGCATACCCAAAGATGTTACATGTTGTCACCCTCTCTAGCGCTCGGCATTAAGGGGATAAAACAAGGACTGGTCAGCTTGGTGTCAGTATACTGTGTCTGAGTGGGGTATTCATGTTAAACTGCGGCATGGTATCTCAGTGAGCCAGCACTATAAAATCGGCATTAGTGCACTCACCCACCCACACCCACACATTTGGACGCGACATTAAATCCTCACCTCACCACCTTCTATTCTCATTCATGATCAATCGAAAATCAATTTCCTTTTCAAACAAAAATCAGTCTTGACATTTTTAACCGATTCACAAGACTGCCTTGTAACTAAGGGTGTGAGGTATTACTGGTATATCGGCAAAATGAGGTTCATTCTTTCCACTATATGTATCACAATATAATGTTTTCATGCTCTATAAATCGGGTGATGTCAAATGGCGATTTTTTAATCATGTTTTTCTTGCAAAATGCCTTCACGGCCCCGGAGCATGCATACAGGGCCTGCAAGATGGCTGCATATTTATTGACTGAGTAAACACTATGTTGTACCACCATCTTGTTTTGTTCCATTTATGAACTTCCATTCATACCTTAATGTATCAGATTGCTTCTGAATTCAAAATTTATAATTAAATACAATATATTGTGATACGTATCACAATGAGGTCTTGTGCATCGCAAGATATTTTGATACACTTTAAACCTCGAATACCCATCCCTACTAGTCACTAACCATCTGTAGTATGGCTGGGACAGGTAACTCGGGTCGGTACTAAGTAGGACTCAGGTACCCACAGGACTACCCGGACCTGTGGTTAGTCATGTGATATATTGTTAATGATTAAAATTAAAAATATATAGAACTCTATGGTTACAGTACAAGTCACTAATGTTCGCATTTCTTTCTTTTGCTTCTGACCTTTATAGGTTTGAATAAAAATAACACTTCAGTCAACTTCAGTGTATGCATGACCAGAACTTTTTATACATATATTTAAATACATTTTACCAGGGCTACGCTCAAATTATTTTCAATTGGACATTTTGTACCAAACTCTGAGACATGTAGCGGGTACCCGGGTAGGGTCGGATAATAGCGGGATGGGTACACGGGTAGTAAATTTTGATTCCTCCCAGGCCTAGTCTGTAGTGCTGTCATCTAGCCTACGTGACATCTCACCCTCCAGACTACACTGGCTCTAGACAGCTAGAAACTTGCCGTTCTTCCACTGCTGGTTGTGCACTCGTCGGCTAACTTGCATCAGTTTTACCTCTCGATTAATAAGTATACCCAATACTGTTTGGTAATGAATCAAAATGTCAACTTGACATGTTGATTGTCACAATTCCATCATGAACATTAACCGTATATATTTTTATCATTTACGTAATCGACTGACACACTCAAGCCACAGTGAAATTGTCAACGGGTCGATTGTTTACGTTCATATCTCACCATATTGCACATTCCAATAACTTTGATATTGACCCCAACACCTTTTGTACTTGATTGCTTGTCATTGTGTCTTCTTATTTATCTTTTGTTCGCCATGACATTCTAACAGTAACTTCCCTCCTTCTTCGGTCAATAAACTGTATCTCCCGCCGACATCGCACTGTGGTGCAGTGCATGTGCGCTCTTTATCACTAATTTCCACCATGGAGCGACCCCTAGTAACGCTGTACGGATAATACGAGGCGGAAATAACTTTCTTCGTAGAAGAGCTAGAAGCTTTCTTTTCATGTTTTCAAAGATAAAGGCAAAGTTATGAGTTCGATCCCTTCTATGGGTCAAACTATTTTAAACAATAGTTTGTTCAACACTTATAGAAATTGAAGGATGTGGCTTCACAGAGGTGACCATTCATTCTTTATTCTACAGGGTGTTAGTTTTAATCCTTTCGCCACATATATCGAAGAAAGTCTCTATGCTCCTTGTTCACCTTGAATTGGTGGAACATTTGCTCAGTGTCACAAATGAAAGTGATGGGTTGCTTACGGAATCTGCACAGTACTCTGGGTAGGGTGTTCGTGAGATCTGGGCCTTGTAGCAGAATGTCCTTTAAAGATTGGTCTTTGAATCAGGCACAACAGTGGAACACAAGTGTAATCTTTTGAGGGTTGTTCTAAGGGTGATAGTGAGTGAGCTGGGTGTAACGCCGAGATTTGAGTTTTTAACGCCGCTTTTAACAGTATTCCAGTTACATTGCGGCGTTTCAACTTAATGTGGGAGGAAAACCCGAAGTAATGCAGGTCTCAGACGTTTACCACTTCGGTGAAACCCACGAGCACGGGTATGGTGCTGACAAACCTAGAAACATAATTGGGGCGAGCTGGGATTCGAACCCACAATCATAGGTTTCTGGCGTGCCCAAGGGACGCAACTCTGCACAGTGAATCGCGGCGCCTTAGACGACTGGGTCACCCGTGCCCCCGTTTTAAGGGTGATCTACCTCATGATGTGGGATCTACCAAATGCTGTCACACTTAGTGTCTTCTCCTGGTACTCTCTCAGTATACCCTTGCTTGATTGTATAGTCCATAAAGGTTCTTGCATTTGACTTGATGCGCTTCCTCAGTTGCTCTAAACGACCCACAACCTAAAATCTCCTTTGGAAGCTAGTGGCATTTCATAATGACCATCACCTGTCGTGTGAATTCCATTCTAGATCCTTGTGATGAAGTTGGCGAGAGTCCTTGTCACGTTCGCTGAAATCCATACTTGAAGTGAAACATATACTTCGTTAGGAACGGTTACTCGTTCATGGCAACTAGGGACGCCTAAAGCCATAATTCTGTAACTGTCACCAATGGCATCATAATCCGACTCTTCATTAGTTCCACGATGAATGGCGTTAATCATCCCAACAATTCCCCATCCGAGATTGGTCTATTGGCTGTATTTTTCCCAACCAGATGAAGCAATAACATCCCTTGGTGCAAGGATGTGTGGACAATTATAGCCAATGAGCGAGCCCATTTCAATGTTGTCATTTACCAACATCAAATCATTAATTTTCTATTCCTTACCAGATGAGGTCACTGACCTGCAACATCTGGCCATGGTGTAGGGATATGGTGACGACTCGCTGGTTAAATCTCTCTTGTGTAAGCATCTGGTCGAAATACCTTCAATGAGCAGTTGAAAGCTCTTACTTTAATATGGTTAATCTTCTTGCTGTTCACTATGGCATTCCTAGAAGTCATGGTTGACAGTGTCAGTTTAATGTTGGGGTGAGGTGAGGTGAAAGTGGATTGAACGTCGCGTTCACGACTATTGCACTTTTATAGCGACGTGCATGCACGCGCGCGTGTGTGTGTGTGGCTGAATGTCCTAGTCCGGGCTGATGCCGATTTGTACTAGCTCAGTGAGATACCTTGCCCCAGTTTAACATGACTACTCCACTCAGACACAGTATCACAGTATACTGACCTCGAGCCGACTAGTCCTTGTTTTAGCCCCTTAATGTCGGGTTGGTCTATCAACATTAAGGGCTGCAGAAGTACTGTATGTAAAAAATAAAGTATCAGATGTGTTTCAAGACAAGCATCTCAGAGTTAGGGTTAGCACGATGATACACATAGACTGGTATTATCATGGAGCACTTGATCGATGCCATCGACCCATGGAGATGACTGAATACCTACAAATGTGCGTGGAGATTGAATGACTTCGTACAATTCATACATGTTCCTTGGTTTTTGTAATTTACTGCCGCATGTCCTTGTTCCATACATCCAAGGCAGAGATCTCCTTTCATCACAATATCCTTCATTTCACACGCATCCCTGCCACGAACAGATGACAGCTATTTAGATTGTGATACTTATGGCATACCTTTAGAGAGTCAGCCATCTTGTCCCTGGTGACATTCTTTCAAAATATCGGCGTATGATTCTCCCTATGGGGATTAACCTTTACGACTGTGTAAATGATGCCAGATTGCGTCTGACGGGACTTCCCTATTGCAGGGAATGTTTGTCTTCAACGCCTCAACAGGGTGTGCACTGAATTCAAAGGATCACATGCAATAGTTGCTTTAATGGAGTATGATCATGTTCATGCCTTCCAGTCAGATCCAATTCATCCTTGATATGAACCATTGAGGAGGTTTAGTGAGTAGTTTGTAATGTTCCCTATCGTTATACAACGCGGACAGACATACCATAGTATGGTATGTATAGCATTTAAATACTGCCTAAAAAAGTCAGTTACTTGATGCAAACCCACTGAGATCCTATTGGCAACATTAGGTCAAGAATCAAAATTGCTCCGAAATGCATTAGCAACTGGGTCGTTTTGCATCACAGAATGCATTGTCATTAGCAAAGAAGAAATAGCCTTGGACAGCTTCTTTTGGTGCTCCAACTAGATGCTTCTTCTAGCAGCGCAATCTCTCCGAGAAATTCATTCTTCTGTGCTCTATAAGCGCCTCAAATGCAGTTTTTTATCCAGATTATGCCAATGGCTCGCCCGTGAATACACCTTGCTCTGGTGGAAGTAAATGGCCAAGGTGGACTCATTATTAGGGAAAGTATCTGCTCATATCAATTACCCTTGGGTTCTATTCCTACAAATGGGTTCTGGATGCCTGTAGAACGTGTGGCGTTGTCAGGTGGTACGAAGTCCTTTGCAGAAGCATTAAACATAGAGGCCTTTGCGACGGCGGGAATTATGGGTAAGACAGGAGTCGTCTTGTTTTGGCCGGACAGTGCCACAGTCGGTATGTCTTGTGTCATATTTATTTGTGCCATCTTCCTGTACAGTTAATTGCTCCAAGTCTTCTTCATATCGCTCCCTCTTTACGTTAGGTAGAACATCTTCCTGTACAGTTAATTGCTCCAAGTCTTCTTCATATCGCTCCCTCTTTACGTTAGGTAGAACATCTTCCTGTACAGTTACTTGCTCCAAGTCTTCTTCATATCGCTCCCTCTTTACGTTAGGTAGAAAAATAAGATCAGGTTTAAGGTTCACTATATTTTCCTACCTTTTTATCTTGATAATATATTCCATTTTAGCATCTGCAATTGGAATGTCTCTCATGACTTTAAATCTCTCCAATTCTGACCGTTTCCGCTCAATTTCCAACGACTTTGGTGCTTCAAAGTCCATAAAGGAGAGGTTTGCTTTCAACTCAGCTACTTCGGAGGCAATACCAGATCTTAACGATGCCATGGAGATTTTAGATGAATGGCTCCCTAGATCCCTTTGAGGAACAAGACTCATTGCTTCCTGACTGCCTTGACGAAACAGAATGTTTGTCTTTGAAAATGTCTCGAATTTAATTACTTATTCCAAATGCTATCTATAACTTTGCAACGGAAATGTTTTCATATTCTTAATTTTCTTTTTCTCACGTAAGTGTCACTTCCAAAGGCCTGTTGTACATCAATGATAAGTTACTCATCGCGACATCCAAGCGATCATGTTCTTTACGAAGTATGACAAGTCTTGGCTATCTGAGATTTTGAAACTGTAGCATGTTTTCGCCAGATATTCATCAAACATTGAAAATATTTTCCGGTTGATGTAACTGCCATGCTGTATATTTAATAGTGTTTTTTACGACCACGTCAGTCTTCAATCACAAGTGTCCTTGATTTCACTGTTAGAATCCTTGTGTTAACTTTCAGTGTCATTATTGTCAACGTTAGCATTCACATTCACCTTTAGTGACCATATTGTCAACATTATTGATTTCATTTTGACCATAACCGTTTTTCTAAGCCATATTCCGTAGGAGGAAGATATTCTTTACTCGCCATATTTAATCAGGACAAGTGTTCATATATTGAAGGAAATGTCAAACTTACCGAGATTGCCTTGGTTATAATACTGTAAATCGTGAAATTAATGCGTCTCCAAAAGAATGTGACCGCTGGTCCCTAACCAAAAATGCGACTCAATATGAATGCGAATCCTCTCAAGCATCAGTGTATTTCTATGTAAAGAAAATGTCCTCTGTCAGGTTTACAGGAGAATCATCACCTTAATCCAACCTAACAATAATCCAATCACACACTAAATAGCAGCACTTATTAGCGTTGAGTAGTGTAGACATAAGCGAGTAGAACTCCCCAGCAGTGACAATTCACAGAATGTTTATGTTTGAATGACATTGTTCATGTACTTGTTACATATGCTGCTCAATAAAAAGTGATGTGGAATACGTAGTTGTTTGTTTTCAGCGTATGTCTAAGTTGGTATTTCTGCTATCCAAAATGGCTTATTGTTGATATAAATGCGATGTTTGATAATGCGAGCAAAGACCACTTGCATTTGTCGCATTTAATTCACGCTCGCGTTAATTTCAAGATTTACAGTATCTGTTTTGTCCGTTGTTATCAGAGACACACCAGTCGCAAGTCAATCGGGACTAAATTCGTGAAAGATAAACAATTCCGTAAGTTCGTTTACCACACATGTTTGTTTCCTTTGCGATAATGTCTTCATCAATCATATATACCACGGTGTTTTACTGTAAATGTAGTTTGATGCGATTAAGTCCTTTGAATTTACATTTAGCCCTAGTGCTGTACATTGGGTAAAACACCTTGGGCATACTCTGTATACACTGTACATCCGTTATGTCAC